TTTGTCTGTATGAAAATACTTCCAAGGTAATCCCCTTTCCTAAACTGAAATATATTAAGTACAGAGTTAACCCCCTGCCCCCTTTTCTTTTTTACGGACGCCACAACAAAGGTCATTCCATTTTACAAATATTTCATAATAGTGTTGGTTTTCATAAATTCATAATTTTTCATGTAAAAAGCAGGTATTATCTTTAAATAATAAATAAAGATATCTACTATTATATACAAAATTTTATTTACCTGACCATCAAAAAAGTTAAATTTATTATAGCTGGTGAGTGACTTTTGCTACATACATACCGTGAATACAACAAATTAAAATTAAACAAAATTCAAATTAAACTTTAAAATTTGGGATAAAGTTATGTGACTGATAATGACCAACTTTTTCACGTTAGGCCCGTAGATACAATCTAAGTTGGGGGATTTAATTTCATTTGCTCATATTATAGTTTAATATCGGCTATATTTATTTGTGGGGGGATACCCCCCTCTTCCTGGTTCCTCAGGCCATGCATAATCTTTTCTTTTTTGTTATAAAATACTAAAAGTTATGCTAACATAATTAATCAGAATTAAATTAAAATGTGCAAAAACACTTGCCAAGTGTTAGATATTTTATTGCATGGTTAATTTATGCTATACATTCTTCAGTAACTGTTGTAATGGTAAATAATAAAAATTTCAATCACTCACCGTAATTAAGACTCATGAAAACGCCAAAACTGAGGCTCAGACTGCTCCAAGTTTGTAATTTTCTGCTAGTCTTCTGTACATTGCTATTGAAAACAATGTAAGCAAACTACCGTTTATTCCTCCTATGTTAGAGAGCTACACCAAAGGGAGGTAATTTGAAGCAAAAGTTACAGAAAATTGTGGATTTAAATCAGTTATCATATATAAATGCTTTAGTTGCCTGCAGATTTTTTTCTTGATTTTTCTAGAAGAAATACTGTTGAATAAATATCTTATGTTGATAAGCTTTAATGTGGTTGTAGATTTCTTATAAAGTACTTCAAATGTGCTGTTTTTTAAAGCAAAACAAACCTCCAAAAACTAGTTATATAAATCAAAAGGTGAAGAGAATTTCAAAAATCACCAGTTGTTAAAATAGAGAATATTTATATAAATAAAATAATAATGTAAAAAGCTTTTTTTAATGACTAGTAATTAAAAAGTATTTGTTTAACCATAAATTCAAGTGTCATGATAAAGTACAAAACAAACTATCTGAAAGGCGCGTGGTTTCCATAGCAACAATGCGAAAAATTATTTTTTGCTTGCTTTTTTCTATCATACCCTTTGTTCTGAAAATTTATATATGAGTTTTAACCAAATCTATTTCTATGCCACTTTCCACATTTTTTAACTAAATGCTCGATGCTTGCTGATTTTGACTCTTAAGTACATAGTTGAGGTTAGGGCGGTGCTATATTCAGCATTCAGGAAAAATGCACCATTTCCTGGAATGTTTTACTCTGCTTTTGAGTATTAGCAGTAATTGAAGAACGGTATATACTTACATTCATAATGAGCAAAAGAGCCGCTTCTAAAATTTTGAAATTGATTGCCATTAAATCCGAGATTTTTTCCAGAAAAAAGTATTTTTCTGTTAGTGATTCACATGATTTGTTTTTTATAAACATACACTAAGCAATTGAAACCTATTTTTGTATTCATATGAAACAAAATTTGTTCAAAAACTTATACTGTACATGTATGTGAAAAGAAAATAACACTTGTTGCCTTTAACTCGACATTTAGATATTTAGACGACGCATTGTCAATTAGCAATTGATTGACAAAATTTTTTTCCTCCATTTTTATGTCGATATGATATCTTGAAATATTAGATACCACAGAGTTTAGCTCATTTGTTTCATATTTAGATAGATGTTAATGGTAATCTAACAACACAGCTTCATGATAATAATCATTACATCAACTTCCCTTACGTATGCAGCAATCTATCTTTACCACTTGCATACGGGGTTTACATCTTTCGGTTGATTCGATACTCAAAATTATGCACCTTTTATGAATATTTTGTAAAACGTGGTGAGTAATTGATAAAAATGTTGATGAAACAAGAATATAAGCAGTTTTGTTTGAAGTCATCATTTCGCAAGTTCAATTGTCAATTCAATGATAATGTCAGCGAATACAATCGATCATTAAAGTCAAATGCTGATGGAAGTTTTTCATACTTATTGTTAGACCAATATTTACACGCTAAATTGTCGACGGATTTTTCCCGTTATTTCCCTATCATTACAGGGAGCACAAGACGGGCCGGGTAACCGGTCATCAGGGGATGCTCATTCCTCCATTGTACCTGATCTCACATCTGTTGTTTTTGATTTCCGTGTTTTCTCTGCTCCTATTTTGTTTTGTTTTATTGACTTTTGAGCTTGAAAACTGTTCGTTAACTCCATTTAATTTATTGTAATATTTTAATAAAAAGCATGGCATTTAGTAGATATCCATGAGTTTAGATTATGGCATTATTTGTTAAGGAATTATTTTCCTTACAGTTGTATCATCATAAAATGTACACGTTTCCATTATTACTGTAAATCTTCAATCCTAGAAGTAATGGTAATGTCTAAGAATTGATCCAGTGTGTGATTCAGGTTTAAAGAGTTCAAAGACGTCCTTCTATGGAAAAAAACTGGGGCTCCTTAAAAAACTAAAATTTACTGTGTCAAGAGATATTCTATCCCAGATGTATATATCTTTTATTAGACCACAACTTGAATATGCTGTTGAAGTTTGGTCTGGATGCACAAAAACAGATATTGAGAATCTCAAAAAATTACAATTATTTGCTGCAAGAATAGTAACTGGGCTTACAATTATTGCCTCAAGAAATTCATTATATTTGAAAACAGGTTGGGAACCATTGGAATATACAAGAAATAGGGCAAAACCAATAACAATGTATAAAATGCACAATAATTTAGTACCTAATTATTAACAAAACTTAGTACCTGATACAAGAGGCAAAATTTCAGCATACACTACCCGGAATTCTTTAAATTATTCTTTGCCAAAAATACAGATTAGAACTCTATAATAAATCATTTATTCCCGATACTGTTAGAAAGTGGAATTCCCTTAGTCTTCAACCAAGGGAGGCAACTTCTATCAATTTTTTTAAAAAACTATCTGCTAAATAGTAATGTAAAACCTCCGAAATGTTTTTCTTATGGAAATAGGTTTTTGAACATAATTCATACAAGATTAAGACATAATTGTATTTTAAAATCTGACTTCTATCGCTGCAATATAATAACCAGTCCTAATTGTTCTTGTGGACTACCAGAAGATGCATATTATATGTCCTTTGTTTGTAAATATTATTTTAAAGCAAGAAATTCCTTAATGAATCACATGTTATAGATGTGCATTTAATGCTATGGGGCGATGATTCTCTTACTATTATATTTGTACATTTAAAGATTTTTTTTCTTTTCTATTGCTTTTCTATTGCTTCGATGTATACAATGTACATGTATGTAGTACACCTTATGTATATATGTTTGTTTTTTTTAATTTTGGCAATTTTACAAAATGTTGTATTAGGAGAGGACTATCTAAGTTACTGAACTTGTGTCCGATCCTTTTGACTTTGTTCAATAACATAGGTTCAATTCAATTCTAAGGACGTGTTGATGAACATAGGTTGAGTCATGGTAGAGGAAAAGTTAAGAATGTAAAAATAGTCTTATCAATTAAAAGCCTAGATATATTAAGTGACATCTAAATTTTCAAAAGATTTCTGTCCTTTTTTTAAAAAGTGATTTTACACGAATTTTCTTTTTCTAATGTTTTGGTTAATTTGCTCTCAACAGTAGCAGTTTTACAAAGTGGAGATCCTACAAAACAGACATTTTGTTTACTCTGTTTTTTAAAATCAGGATATCCCATATAAATGCTACCCAGTATTCATTTATAACTAAACAGGTTTGCTTTTTTATTAAAAAGAAATTAGACCCTGAGGACACCCTCTTTTTGTAAAAACAATTTTTAATTGTCTGTATTTTCAATTTCTTATTCAAGAAAAAAATCAACATTTTGTCCAGTTTGCTGACACTTATTGTAATTTAGATATTTAGAGTCGTATGTATCTAATTATTATCTATTTCAATCTCAAACATGACAAGGTTAAAATGGCTCTCACTTATTGTCTGGTACAAAGATAAACGATATTAGCTCTTTAAACATAAAGCATGCCTTGTAGTTTGTTCTGTGCATTAAGGCAAACACTGACTCTTTTAAAAACAATCTATAGCTTATTTAGATTTTTGGTTCGTGCAATGACTTTTCAATTTAAACAAGAATTCAATGACAAAATATTGAACGACGCTATTTTTTAGGGTAAGGGGTGTGTGGTATACCGTATATACTTGCCTATAAGTGACTCTATGTCCGACTTGTAGGAAAACATTGTTTTTTTTTTAGGGCGGCAAATATTGTATTTTATAGCCATTTCCGTTGACTATCGTTGAATAAAGTCTGGTTATTGTATCATTATGTATTCTAAGAAAATGCATAAAGTACAAGAATTTACAAATTTGTTTGACTTTATTTGCATCTTTTTGTTCATTACTGTTTTTATGGTATGAAAATAATTATTGGCTTATTCTCTACAGATATTATTTTATAAAATCAGCTTAAAACTTTAGAGTGGTGTTTTGAAATTGTCAACTGATTCTGGCAAAATTTAAGATGAGTTATAAGTTTGTATATGGCAACTACCTCCAAAATTACCTCAAAAATCACAACCGATTAACTTATAGGTGAGTACATACCGTAAGTAGAATTATACCAAGAATTAAATAGGTCTGTTCTAGGCTGCACCCCTAAGTTTCAGTTATATGGTGTATAGTGGGATCAATTCTATACGAAATTTTCCCTAACAAGTAAAGGACTACTTAATATTATCAATCCCCTTTAAATATAAAAATTGCTTGATAAATGATTACAAGACCGATAGCAAAGCAGCATGAAAACTATTTTTTAATTTTCCTAAAATTTTACAGAGTAAAAATGCATGTCATTATAAAAGAAAACAAATGAGTTAAAATGCTGAAATTGTTTATGTACAGATGGATTTTTTGGTAAATTATTGATGTACATATACATTGTAGATTCTTTTTTGAATTCTTGATATCCCCGTTCTGATTCATCTCGGCCGAAACCAGTAGTCCTTTTTTTCTTAAACGTTCATACACTCGTACAATATAAAATACGAAGCAATCAAAAGAAAAAAAAGCAAGCCAATTTCAAATCCTAATGTAAAATTCTATAAGTGATTTAAGAAAAAAAGCAAGCCAATTTCAAATCCTAATGTAAAATTCTATAAGTGATTTAAGAAAAAAAAGCAAGCCAATTTCAAATCCTAATGTAAAATTCTATAAGTGATCTAAGAAAAAAAGCAAGCCAATTTCAAATCCTAATGTAAAATTCTATAAGTGATCTAAGAAAAAACCACCAGCCTACTGCTTTATGAGTTCTTTAATTCCAGAATAAAACATACTCCAGAGGCTATTGCGACCAGCATTCCAATAATACAAAACGCAAAGGCAAAGTGAAAGTTGAAAAGACTGGATCCACCTGTTATACCTTCCATCTTTCCAGCGTATGTAGCAATTGAGAGAAGGACACAGAACGCTGTAAAGGAAAAAAAGATACAAATAAATAATTAAAATCAATTTTTCCATTTTTTACGGATGTTGTTGAAATATTTCATTAAGATGAGATTATATGCGAATTTTTTTTCTTTCTAGAAAATACTAATAATTTTACATGTAAATAATTCCAAAATGTTGAAGAAAAAAGCCAATCAATGAATAAAATTAAAATCAAATCTAGGAGATATCCAAAAAATAATCTTTTAAATCACGATCTCAAGACGATTTAACCGTTAATTTTAAATTGACTAAATACATAAAAAAGCAAAATTTCCTTTCAAAAATGATTTTACCCATAGGAATCATTTTTATTTGTAAACTGTAAACTTACCTCCCACAAACACTGCGCCCATGGCAGCAAATAAGATGATCTTTCTGTCTTTTAGGACAAACAGCTTTAAAGCAGAACACACAACGGCAGCTAGAAAGGAAATAAATGCAAGGATGGCAAACGCTTGTGAGGCCTTAAGCCAATCTGAAATACAAATCATTATTTTTAAATTTTTGAATAGTCTTATTGTTAAAAAATTAAAATACAAAAAGAAAATCACGTTAAGGTTTTATGTGTGTATGAGAGAGAGAGAGAGAGAGAGAGAGAGAGAGAGAGAGAGAGAGAGAGAGTTAATGTTAAAATGTTTTCAATTTTTAATTAAAAAGTTAATTATGAACAAAAAAGAGTAAATATATATATCAGGTGTTTCGGTTTATGTCAATCATATAATAACGCGTTGTTTGATTAATCTTTCAAATTGTTTAAAAAATGTTTTTGTTAATACTTGCATCAATCAACAACAACTACAATGAAGCGCATTGAAGTGGTAAAATTTTCCGTTTGGACGAAACGTTCTGAGTCATGTTTTGAACGTCAATTATAACATAACCACACGCCCATTTCTTTAGAAATGAGAAAGGAATATTCGTCGTAATGTTTTAGGACACTACACTTTTCGCGACAAGCAACATGAGTTACGCTGAAATGAAGATTTTTAAATAAGAAAGAGCTATGTATAGAGTTCCTGCTTATGTAAAACACGCATTGCACCGATTTTGTACATAATTATGATTTTATCATGTTTATTGGAGTTAGCATAGCACATGTATCAGTCGAACACCTGCTTATTCGGTGTTTATGTAGACCGTCAATTTCATTGGCTATTATATTTATGAAATACCTGTTCTACAGGTATTCGATTGAATCATTTGACCGATTTTTCTTTTCTAATGAAATGGGCTTGTCTAAAGATAGCTCAAAACGTTTCATCGAAGCAGAAAATTTTTCCACTTCAATGCTCTTCATTGTATATAAGCCCATAAAACAAGGTTTGTCATTACCTTTTGGATTTATAATATCTCCACAGCCACTATTTAACACTAAACCACAACCTTTCCAAAGACCGTAGTGTATGGAATGTGATCCAATATCTGCATTAATCCAGTAGGGTGAAGCAAACCCGATCAGATGGAATACGAAAGCAATGATTGCCAAAATGAAGCCGATTTACATAGCCTTGATCTCCATTTCCTCGGTATTTAGTATTATTCCTATGTAAAAAATACCATTGATCTTTTAATTATTTATAGTTCTTAAAAGACCACTTCAATTTCGTTTACTTGGACGCTATAAGTTAGCTTAAGGTAGTCCGATCCTCAGGTTTATAAAATAAGCATTTAAATTATCAAAACTACTCATAAAAGTATCTCTGAATCCACAAGAGAAATTGTCATGATTTTCATACTTATTTGGTATTTTTTGTCTTCTATTTCCGTCATGTGTTCTATAATACATAGTGAAAAAGGCTTTTGTTATCATTGCAAGACACCACATATCACTTCTTATTTCATTTCATGCTAATAAGCATTTGTATCTAAGGCTGGATTCAAGAAAATCTTATTTGTCTAAAACTGTATTAATTTTTTTTCCTTTTATAGGGTAAAAATGTAAACTTTTATAAGACCTTTTCTAAGACTTCCAAAAACCATGAATCTTATAAAGATGAATAATATGAAAATTGTTGCATAAATAAATTTCATTTTCAAGCCTTATTTTGATGCATTTCAAATTAAATATTAATTTTTGGAGTTATCCTTCCTGGCTGAGGATGGGATCTCCTTAAGGTTCACTAAGAAATGAAATGACAAAAAAAAAATAATAATAATGATAAATAAATAAATTATTTATTTTTTACTGATACTACTGCAAAATGCATTTTAATTTAATATAAATACTTTAGTAGTAATATATTTTCAATGAAAAAAAAATTAAGTTTTTGCGACCACTTCAAATCTATGGGCCACAGTCGTGTTACAATCAGGGACATTAACATATTGGCCATAGTCTATATTAGAGATGTTTCTGAATATGAATCGAATCCGATTCAAAAATGAGAAAACATTAATTAGAAAAAGAATTTTCCTAATTATGCTATTAAACATGTCATGTACATGAAACGATAAGGGAAATAAAAAGTGGAAGGTGTTTATTTTTGTCAATGGGATTGTTATTGTTTTAAAAAGGTCAAATCAAATTCCTTGGACTGAATGACAGATCAGGTACCCTTTGAATTCACGGGAAAACCTACTCGTAAAGGAATATCGTTGTATTTTTCATTAGCTTACATTACTTGGTCCTCGCAAGAATCGTGATCTGAGCCTTATTTTGTCTAAATGTATCCATACGAGTCATCCTATATATTTATACGTAATTGAAAATTATGTCGGATATTTTTTTTCACAAACCATGGCCATAAACTTTTTCGCATCCCAAATCTGTGTCCAATGTTTTCGGTCATTGGCCTTGATATCAACAAGTTTCTTGTTTCATCGCTTTCTTTCACAAATTTCTCGAAATATTTCCTTGATTGGCATAACTTGTTATAATGTGTAGTAAAAAGCTTTTAAGTTGTCAACCACATCGCAGAGTTTTTTTTTTGTCTGCCTTCTGTCTTCATTGAGCAATTGAACGTTTCTCACTAAACTGGTAGGTTTCGTATGTATTGATAACATACTAATTACTACATTAGGTATGTAATATAGTATCTGTAGGATGCAACTACAGTCTCGGAGCTAATTCTTAATGAGAGTAAAACTCTACAAAGTTATTTTATTAAGACAAACTGTAATTTTGCGGAGTTTATTAATATGACCCCCCCCCCTCCGACTGGTTCACCTTTGACACTTCAAACACACTCCCTAGCCCATGAGAAAAAATCTAGCTAACTTGATAGACTCATAGATTTTTTACTTTGTTACATCCATTTAGTAATACGATTAAAATCATGAACATATTTCTTGCAGGATATTTGTTGATGTACATGTATGTGTGTGTGTGTGTGTGTGGGGGGGTTACAAACACAAATGTTTTTTTTACAGGTTATACCAAAGACAAAACATCAGTAATCGTATTCTCGGTGTATGATTTAGAAATACGTCTATTTTCAAATCGGGATCGGAATCCCTCCGATTCAGATTCGTTTCATATTCATTTTTTTCAGATTCGGATTTTCATATTCAGAAACATCTCTATTAACAAAATCTGTCATCAGAGGAAAAATCAGACTTTATCCATATTCCTGTTACATTTGTATTAGCATTAAATGCTTGTTCTTAACATATGGAGCACAGAAATTGAAGTAATATATAATCCGTTCAAATCCTCGTGCAGCACAACTTTTTTCAAAGGGGAATTTGTGTTTGCAGCTAAAGAAATGGCGGATTGATTTTAAAATAGGTTACCTGATTGATATTTTCTAGGTAAGTGGTTAGGATTTTTGTGAGAAACATGTGCAAAATTTTGTATAGAACTACATAGATTAGGATACAAAGTTGTATATTTAAGCACTAATGAAAACGTTCAATGACTTTATATTCTGTAAATTGTTAATTGTTTTGTCATTTCAAAATCAGTCTAAAATATTTTATATCAACACATGCATCATTTTTTTGGTTGTGCCAAGCATTCTTAAAGCTTTTAGTCTCCCAAATAAACAAGCTTGAGTTGCATGTCTGTTTGATAATTTCCTTTTTCATAAATTAATATGCATTCAAATCTCCATTTACAATGAAGCGCACTGAAATGGTAAAATTGTCTGTTTGAATGGAACGTTTTGAGCTATCTTTAGAACGTTGTTTGTCATGGGATGACACGCCCACTACTTAAGAAATAGATAAAACGGTCAATTTGTTTCTTCGAGTACCTTCCGCCGAAACATGGCTGAAAAATTGCCGACTCGGCGTTAAAAAATATTCAATCAATCAACCTGTAGAACAGGTTTTCCATAAATATAATAGCCAATCAAATTGACAGTCTAAATAGACACCGAGTAAGCACGTGTTCGACCGAAACATATGTGTTCTGGTAATTTCAATAGACATGATAAATTCAAAATTATGCAAATATTCGTTGCAATTTGAGTTTTACAGAAGCGGGGAGTCTCTAACTCTCCCTACTAATCTTTTTAAAGCTCCATTTCAGTGGGACACCCCACTCTTTGCGACAAGTAACATGACTTACACCGTAATTGAGATTTTTAAAGTTATAAGTCAGAGAGATTAAGAGCCTTCCAGCTTCTGTAAAACACTGTATTGCAACGAATTTGTACATAATTATGAATTTATCATGTTTTCATATTGGAGTTTCCATAACACATGTATTGGTCGAACACACGCTTACTCTACAATGAAGCGCATTGAAGTGGTAAAATTTTCCATTTGGACGAAACGTTCTGAGTCATGTTTTGAACGTCCATTATAACATAACGACCCGCCCATTTCTTAAGAAACGAGAAAGCAATATTCCTCGTAGTGTTTTAGTACACTACACTTTCCGAGACAAGCAACACGAGTTACACTGAAATGAAGATTTTTAAATAAGAAAGAGCTATGTATAAAGATCCCGCTTAAGTAAAACACGCATTGCAACAGTTTTGTTCATTTTATGATTTTATCATGCTGATTGGAGTTACTATAACACATGTATCGGTCGAACACGTGCTTACTCGGTGTTTATGTAGACCGTCAATTTCATTGGCTATTATATTTATAAAATACCTGTTCTACAGGTATTCGATTGAATCATTTGACCGAATTTTCCTTTCTAAAGAAATTTGCGTGTCTAAAGGTAGCTCAAACATTCCGTCCAAACAGAAAATTTTACCACTTCAATGCGCTTCATTGTATGTTTATGGAGACCGTCAATTTGATTGGCTATTATATTTAAAGAAAACCTGTTCTACAGGTATTGGAATGAACCATTTCACCGATTTTTCCTTTCTAAAGAAATAGGGTCATTATATGACAATCAATGCTCTAAAGATAGCTCAAAACGTTCCATTCAAACCGGAAATTTTACCATTTCAATGCGCTTCATTGTGCGTGTAAAAAAACGAGATGTTTTAGCGTTGTTTGGGATGGGTTTTAAATGCCATGGTTATAATATCCTTTAAGAGTTATCTTTTAAAAAAAATTGGAATTCCACTAACCCACGCCTGGAAGATAAGCGATATCAAATATACTGACACGCAAAAGAAACGCAACACCGTAATTTAGGGGGAAATAATTATGTAAAGTAGAGAATTTTGTATCTTAAAATTATGAATGTCTTCAATTTGGTAAACATCGGAAATTTAACGGTTGAACGATTTCCATACCATAACCGGAAGTCAAGTTTGAGTCTGCTTAACATAAATCAAAAATTGCATGTTTAACAAAACATTTGGCAATATTATGGAGTTTTAAGAGTTTTTTACTGTTCATCATAAGTAATGCAGCAATATTTCAGGAAAATAAACTCTCCTTTCGTTTCCCGTAACGAGGCTAGGGCTACTTGAAAATAGCTTATGTACGCATTTCCATTGCTCTAGCTGGAAAATTTCAATGTAAAGCTGATGGAGAGTTGCTGATGCGAAATTTCTCTACATTACGCCTCAAATGGGTCTTACGTACAATGAAGCGCATTGAAGTGGTAAAATTCTCCGTTTGGATGAAAAGTTCTGAGTCATGTTTTGAAGGTCAATTATAACATAATGACACGCCCATATTTTTAGAAACGAGAAAGTAATATTCGTCGTAGTTTTAGGACATCCCATTCTTCGCGACAAGCATCATGAGTTACACTGAAATGGAGCTTTAAAAAAAAATAGAAGAGGGAGTTAGATACTCCCCGCTTCTGTTAAACACAAATTGCAATGAATATGTACATATTTTTGAACTTATCATGTCTACTGAAGTTACCACAACACATGTTTTGGTCGAACACGTGTTTACTCGGTGTTTATTTAGATCCTCAATTTGATTGGCTATTATATTTATGGAAAACCTGTTCTACAGGTATTTGAAGAAACAACTTGACCGTTTTATCAATTTCTAAAGAAATGGGCGTGTCAAAAGATGACAATAAACACTCTAAATATAGCTCAAAACGTTCCATTCGAACGGAAAATTTTACCACTTCAATGCGCTTCATTGTATGTTTATGGAGACCGTCAATTTGATTGGCTATTATATTTAAAGAAAACCTGTTCTACAGGTATTGGAATGAACCATTTCACCG